CTTTTAGGTTCAGGGGTGCATGTAAAGCTTTGTTACATAGGTAAGTTCATGTTACAGGGACTTGTTTCATTGATTATTTCATCACACAGGTATTAAGTCCAGTACCTTATGGTTATCTTTTCTGCTCCTCTCTCTCCTTCCACCCTTCGCCCTCAAGTAGACCTCAGTGTCTGTTGTTTCCTTTTTGTGTTCATAAGCTCTCATCTAAATTTGCAGTTATCCAGTTTTAGAATACCACGAAAAAATAATTACTTATTTTAAAATTATTTAAAAAAAAAACTTTCCAAATAATTGAAAAACACTATTCTACTCAAATCTCAAAAATATCCAAATATATTTTTTTAACAGAAGAATTAAAATATTATGTTCTCTGGATTCTCTATTGTTGAACCTTTAAAAAAATGTTTTCAGTGAATAATATGTTCCGAGGTGGATTCGACTACAGTATACATTACCACTTTACCTTTACAGCATTCTTCCACTAAACATAACTCAATAAACTTCAACTTGGCTGAATTTATATTCATCTAGGGTAGGTGATTTAATACTTCAAAAAAAAAAAAAAGATGGAGTTTCCTGGCTTCAAGAAGCTTACAGACATGTGTGGAGGGACAGATATATAAAGATTAGAAGCGAAAGCAGTATTATATAAAATTTAAAGAGACAGAAAAAGAGAGTGTGTGTTATTCCTCCTTGAGGTAATTTATAATCTAATGCCAAAAAGAAAAAAATTAAGCTGAAAGCTGAGTCATGCAAGAAGTTCCTTTTCTTTTTGTTCATAAGCAGATAGCTACAGATAGAAGGTTAATTATCTCCACAGGTAGCTTCCATGTTCACCTTATCTTTTGAAAAGTGTCGATTTACTGAGTGTGAGATGAATACATAATTGACTATCCCCCAACCTGCGCCTTTTCTCTTGCAACTTGTGGATTCAGCAATGTGACCATACCCCTCTTTTCTCCTCCAGCCTGTTTTTTTCCCTTTAAAGACCAAAGCCCCCAAAATCATCTTTGGAGAAAGGCAGACCACAGATTGTGTCTGTGATTCGTGTTTTTTCTTCTGGGTCCCGTCCTTAACCTCAGCAAAATAAACTTCTAAACTGACTGAGACTTGTCACAGAAACATTTTGGTTTACAATTGTTTCCCCTTGCTTGCTCACTACACTACTTAAGCAAAGTGGTCTTCTTTCTGCTCCTTGAGCATGCTAGTTTTCTTCCTAGATGAGGATTTTTGCAGCACATGCCTAGCTCCTTGTCAAGTGTTTCAGCAAGGCCTTCTATGATCATCCTCTTGAGAGCAGCTTTCCCTCCCACTCTTTCTTTGTTCCATGAACCTACGTTATTTTCTTCACATCACTTATTATCTGAAATTACCTTATTTGTTTCCTTTTAAGATTATGTGTCTCTCTACAATAAAAGGTTCTTGTTCACTATTATATTCCAAGCACTTTGAAAAATACTTGGTAGGTACTCAATACTTGCTTAAGGAATGCTAATGGAAAAAACAAATGCGCCTTCAACAATATAAAAATACTGTAGAAGGGAAAAAACTTACGTAACGGACACACGGTGAAAATTTATTATCCTAGATCTAATAGATGAGAAACTGCATAAATATACTCTGTTGTTAAGATTAAAGGCTTCTGACAAGGGTGCCAACACCCGTCAAAGGGCAAAGCACTCTTTTCAATAAGTAGTGCTGAGACAACTGGATAGCCTCATGCAATAGAATGAAAGTGGACCTGTCCATCATACCATATACAAAAATCAATGCAAAAATAATCACAGACCTGAATGTAAGATTCAAAACTATAAAAATCTTAAGAAGAAAACATAGGAGTAAATCTAGGCTAGAAAATGGTTTTTTACACAACACAAAAGCACAAGTGACAAAAGAAACAATAAACTGAACCTCACAAAAAAACCTTCAAGAAAAGTGAAAAGACAATCCACAAAATGGGATAATATATTTGCAAATCATCTAGCTCATAAGACACTTGTATCTAGAATATATAAAGAACTCAAAAGTAAACAATAAAAAGATTAAAAAGTCCCAATTTTAAAACTAGGTGAAATATTTAAAGACATTTCTCCAGAAAAAAAAGTACAAATGGCACATAAAAAATGCTCAACATCATTAGTCATAAAGAAAACGCAAATCAAAATCACTATGATATAATCACTTTTCACCCACTAGGATGGCTATAAAGAAGAGAATACAGGTGTTGGTGAGGATGAGAAGAAACTGGAACCTCATTCGTACACTGCTGGTGGAATTCGAAAATGGTTCACATGCTCTGGAAAACGTTTTGGGAGTTCTTTAAAGTGTCAAACATAGTTACCATATATCCCAACAGTTCCACTCCTAGATAAATATCCCATAGAAATGAGTATATCCACACCAAAACTTATACACGCAACGTTCGTAGGAGTATTATCTTAATAGCTAAAAAGCAGAAACAACCCAAATGTTCATAAACTGATCAAATATAACAATACATAACCTATTCATACAATGAAATCTTATTTGGCAATAAAAAGTAGTGCAGCTGACCCTTGAACAACATGAGTTTGAACTGTGCAGGTCCACTTCTAGGTGGATTTTTTCAGTAAGTTACACCAAGTGTGCCTGCCTCTCCTGCCTCCCCTCCCCACTTCTCCACCTCTTCTGCCTCTGCTCCCAGTGAAATAGCAAGACGAACCCTCCTTTCCCTCCGCAGGCTATTCAGTGTGAAGACAAAGGAACACCTCTATGATGATTCACTTTGCTTAATCAATAGTAAATGTATTTCCTCTTCCTTTTAATTTTCTTAATAACATTTTCTGTTCTCTGGCTTAAGAATACAGTATATAATACACATAACACATAAAATATGTGTTAATGAACTGTTTACATTACCAGTAAGGCTTCCAGTCAACAGTAGGCTATGAGTACTTATTTTTTGGGGGAGTCAAAAGTTATACACTAATTTTTGACTGCACAGGGAGTTGGTCCCCCTAACCCCTGAGTTGTTCACTGATACATGTGACAAATAGAGGAATCCTGAAAACGTTATTTTGAGTAAAAGAAGTCAGTTATAAATGACTACATATCATCTGACTCCATTTATATGAAATGTCCAGATTAGCCAAATCTCTAAAGTGTGTTAATGGATGCCAGGAACTTGGGGTATGTTCCAAGAGTTTGTATTTGGAGTCTGTATGGGTAGGAATTGGGAATGAATGCTAATAGATATGAGACTTCATTCAGGAGTGACGAAAAACTCTTAAAATCAGATAGCAGGGATGGTTGCAAAACTTTGTGAATATGGTAAAAACCAGTGAACTGTATATTTTAAAACGGTGAACATTACAGTATGTAAATTACCGCTCAATAAAACTATTATAAAAAAGAATAACTGAAGATACTAGTAAGGTTAATTTTTCCAGACACTGATTCATTTCCAAATTAATCATTTTTTCAATGAGTATTTATTCTACCTTTATTAAATACTAGGGATATGAAGATGAATGGCATGACCCTTCACCCTTGGGGAGTTTCCAGATTAGTAGACGCTGTTCTCCATGAAGACTTGCTCAATCTGTGCAGGACATTTTATTCTTTGGACATTCAGACAGCATTCCAAAAGAAGAGTATGCAGCACATTTGTTAAATAAAGATAAATAGCTTTGAATTGCTAGTCAGAAAATAAATTGTATTTTTGCCTCCAATTTTATGTACAATGCATACTTCAGAAGGTCTAGTAATCTTGGAGCTACAATCATTACACCCATCATTGCTATCAGGAACGTTTCCTGAACATCTGCAGCCCAAGTCAGAATATAGCTTGTTCTCTTTTTCCCCCTCGTCTTCCTTCCCCTCATCTATATTCCATATCCTGTTGACTTGTGATAATTAGGTATAAAAGTGATGGGTTCTGTCACTGATGCTGGACAGCTCAGTGATGGGGTAAGTCTTGTATTTTCTGACACGTTCTTCCCTCCCTAAGATGCCCCATGAGGAAAGAGACAATAGCCTATTGCATTCCAAGTGCCTACTACCAAATGGTAGTAGGTGCCCACTGAATAAAAAAAAATTTCCATTGCCCTGACATTATATGAAACAGTCTCTAAATATACTAACACCATTCTAATTCTTTCATTCTGGATGTTTTACCTTTTCTTTGTGATATATAATTATATTTGTTAAATGAATAGATGTCTAATTATTCAACTGAACTTTGGGAGTGGACAGAAGAAGAGGGAAGGATGAACACATGTTGCCATTCCAACTCCTTAATTTATTTTCCCAACACCTAAGTTAAAAGTTACACATAAAATAACCTTGCTTGTAAAAGGAGGACAGCTGCTATGTTGAAAGCATCTAAGATACAATCTAGTTGAAACTGTTTACTAATCGAGAGTCTTTTTGTACACTACCATTTTTAGACTAACTTGGGACCTTGGGCAAATCACTCAACCTGAATAAACCTCAGTTTCCTCCTTTCTAAAATTGGAATAACAATTGTATCTAATCCATCTCTCAGGATTATTATACAGTATAGTTAAATGAGAAAAGAAACATGAAAGACTTATAAATGAAAAAGAGCATTATCAGTACAATAAATCATTTATGTACAGCTTACATGCATTTCAATGCTTATACAGTTTACTCAGCATATACCTACTGGAACTATACTGACTGGTGTCTTATACAAATTAAACATCATATAAAATTTTTCTGAGAAAATGGCATGACCTTGTTGATTCCTTACTGAAAGTATCTCAATCACTTAGTATTCTTAAATCTTTAAAAATGTGAAGCTACTTGCTAAATGATCACCCTTACTGAATTATCAGGTTCCAGCATTGTAATTCTTTGATAAACCTGAGCTCCAATAACGAAAGTACACATCAGATTAACTTTTATAAAGGTTCCAAACTCTATGAATGGTGCATTCCAGTTCTTTGGAGCATCACTATACCTTTAAAGTTATGTTCTTGGTAATAAAAACTACTTACTTTTGCAGCACAGGATCGTATCACCTCCTAAAAGAAATACAATAAAATAAGGAAGTATTCATAATTTCACTAAATAAAGTATTGACTGTTTTCAAAACACTCAGATGTTAATCTTCTAATAACCTAAATCAGCATTTGGAAGTTTCTTTATCCATTATCCTGCCGTTGTCTCTGTTTACAATAAAAGAGACTTAATGACATGTTCAAGGTAAATCTAACTTGCCCAAACAAATGGCACTGTGAAACTCCTGAGGGCTCACAGGTTATCTGTCTCAAGAAAAACTTGCTCTTCAATCAAAAGAATAATACAATTCTATACTAGAACACTAACAGGGGTAAAAGACACACGCTGAGTTAACTGCAATATATAATTATCTCTATAAATAATAATAGCCATAAATATCATTCCCATATTATTTATATCAGATGAAACCTAATATTAAATAGTAAACACTACTAAATGATAAAACATATGACTAGTATTGAAGGAGCTACAGAAAGGAACTCTGTACAATTCATGGTACGAGGGCTAAGAAAAGATCATTTTGAAAGAGAAACTAGTAAAAGTTGACGTATTATGGACAATTTGAAAATTTGCTGCTAAGGAGACACTAAAAATACTCAAGTCCAGCCGGGTGTGGTGGCTCCCGCCTTGTAATCCCAGCACTTTGGGAGGCCGAGGCAGGAGGATCACGAGGTCAAGAGACCGGGACCATCCTGGGCCAACGTGGTGAAACCCTGACTCTACTAAAAATACAAAAATTAGCTGTGCGTGGTGGCACGCACCTGTAGTCCCAGCTACTGAGGCAGAAGAATCGCTTGAACCCGGGAGGTGGAGGATGTAGTGAGCCAAGATTGCGCCACTGCACTCCAGCCTGGGTGTCAGCATGAGATTCCATCTCAAAAAAAAAAAAAAAAAAAATACTCAGGTCCAATTAGGAGTTAGCCAGCATGTATCATCAGCCTAGTACAGAGCTAGTGAAAAATGGTCATAATCAACATGGAGTTTAGGAAAAAAGAGAACTGAAAAAAAATAGATAATTCTCAGTTATTGGGAGCATTACCACTTAGTCATAATATAAATCATTTAATTATTTATCAGCATACTTGACTGCATGTTGCTGCCACAGCAATACCTAAAAGCACTCTGCAACCTAGGTAAGACCTCACAGGTGGACAGTACCTTGAGAATCTCAGTGTATCACATTCTAAGTTTTTAGATCCAGAAATTTGATTTTATCAGTGCATCCACAGTTGCTCAAAATCTGGAATATCTATTAATTTTTTAATCTAGAAATTTCTAAGAGCCAGATACTGTGTCTAAAGCATATCAGTAATTCAGTCACTAAAAGGAGACAGTTCAACTGACTGTGGACATGGGAGTCCAACTACCTGGGCTGAATCCCAGCTACAGTGCTTACTACTTGTGTGATCCTGGTTATGTGGCTTGATCTCTGCAAGCCTCAAATTCCTCTTCTGGAAAATGGGAATAATACTCATCCCTAGAGGATTGTTTGAGAATTAAACACAATAAAATGTAAAGCATTTAGCACAGTGCCAGAAATATATCAATTATTACTAATAATTAAACAGATGTTAGTTATCATTAATCAGTATATAAGGTGGTATCTCCTGTGGGGTAGAGAAAACTAATCTTCTGTCAAAATTGGCATAAAACATTTTCAAACCATTCAATCCATGCTCCTATGGCTCTACTTAGCAATCAACGCTGTGATCATTAGCCTGGGCTTCAGGTTAAATTTAGATAAGAAGAGATCTTGAGTGTTCAGGCTGCCAGAATGGTCTACCTTTTATTATATTATAAGGTGTATTTTCATGGATTCTCACTTATTAATCAACTTTTTGTAGGAATGATTAATCTTAATAGATACTTCAGATTCTGAGCAATACTGGATGTACTGATAAAATCAAATTTCTGGATCTGAAAACTTAGAACGAGATTTACCAGTGCTCTCGAGATACTGTCCACCCGTGAAGTCTTACCTGGGTTGCAGAATGCTGCTAGGTATTGCTGGGGCAGCAAAATGCAGTCAAGTATGCTAATTATGAAATAATTAAGTGACTTATATTATGACTAAATGGTAATGCTTCCAATAACTGAAAATTATCTATTTTTTGTATCTTTTACTCATTAATGCCTAAACAACTATTATATACCTGCTGAACTGAATTTATTAGGCAATTCACTCACACATATCCCCCAAAAATTACACCCTAAACCTGTACCATAATTTATTAGAAAAACATTTCTATTGTAATAATAAATAAAAAAAGGAATTTGAGTTCTACTGAAATTGCAAAAAACAAGAGAAAAGGCATAATGACAAAAGGTGGAAATTCAGTCAACCTAAATGTTTGCAAAATACAGAATGAGGCTGCCATGGGAATAAAGACGACATTTTGTTTGTATTCCCATACATATTATGTACACTCTGAAAGAAAATACATTGCAGATTGCAACAGAAAAATAAATTCAGTGAATTCTCTCAATAAAGGAAAAATAATGGTTTTTAAAAACCAAAGCAAAAGCTTTCATTTCCAAAGGCAGCTTCTATCTACCTCAATACCAAAGCAGACATATTCTCTAAATAATTTTAAAAAGAAAATATATCATAAAAGCTAAACAAAGTAATAATTTGAAGTAAATTTTTTCTTTTATAATAAATTATCAATTTGCTTCTCCCCTGCCTTTGATTTCATTTCTTAAAAATCATTTTCCTGATTTTATTTTTCCTTTACATCTACTTTCTTTAGTTCTTATATCCTTTCATTTATCTGAGGATGACAGGTATATAAAATGAAATGAGAAAAAAGTTACAAGACTTAGGTGATTCCAGGACGTTAAGTTTTACAGTATAAAGACCAACAGATTGTAGGAAACTTGTTTTTATAAATCTGTTAGTGAGTTGTTTTTATGTCTGTAGATGAAGTTACTTTGCCATGTAAGTTTTTACACAAGGAACACATTTTTTTTTCCCGGGTGAAGAAACGTGTTTCTCTTCATCTTTAAAGCTCAATGTATCTATTCAGACTTCCTTTTAAAATCTGGAACACCATGCATTATTTGATTACATTTAAAATGTTAAAATACAAACAACTATAATATTGAAATAAATTTATTTGTAGTTATATATGCTAAAATTTAACTAAGAAATATATATATTTTTCTATATTCCTACATATATTCTGGGTTTAGGTTAAATCTAAACCCAGAGATGGAGTGTAATCTGCATCCTGGTATACCTTCAAGTCTCTAACTTTACAAAGAAAAGGAGAGAGGAAGAGAGCATAGTCAGAACTAAAGCTGTCTCAGTCTAGTTCCTTGTATAGTTTAAAACTAATCGAGATCTCTATCAAGGGAGCAAGAAAAGGGATAATATTTATGAAAGAAAGTAAGAATAAAACAATGAACAAGGCTGCACAGCCCCTGTCTCCAAGGAGCTCAAAGTCATTCTAATAAAAGGACTTCCACTTAATTCTACTAAAAGTATGGCCAAAGATTTTTTCAGGATGCTTAGGCTTCTTATTACATTTGACCATTTATCTTTGAGAAAAATTTTCTAGGAATTTTTGCTAACAGAATGCTACACTACCTTTAACAAAGCATCTTCCTTCTCTTCATTTTCATGATCTATTTTCCAATTTTATGGGCAATACCTGGTTTCTGTGGTACTTTTCTTATTAGTAGTGAGATAAAACTTTTAAAATACGCTTATGAAACACTTCTCTCCTCCTTTTAGAAGAACAGTTTATTTCTTTTACCCATTTCTTTTTTTTTTTTTTTACCCATTTCTTTAACAAAGAAAAGATTTACTATTTTTTTCTTTACTGTTTAGTTTTTTGCATTTTAACATGCTTCTTTAATATCTTTTATGTAAACATTTCCCCTGGCTGGTGTTTATTGCACATATATGTGTGTGTTTGTATGTTTTGCATATACACACATACATACACAACCTTATATTTTTAAACAGAGAAATTGAAAATTATATGTCAATAGTCTATTAATATTTGGGGAGAGGATTGTCCACTGCTTTTAAAATTAGTATGTTTTCATTCATTTGAGAAATATTTGCTGGCGTATTTCCCTAGTTTTAAAAAAGATCTGGATTTTCATATTTAACTCCTCGGTAAATGAGAATTTGATTTAGGTGAGTGACCTAAGATATAGATGTAAACTGACTGTATTTTTCAGTCAACAATGTTAACAATGTTTCCCAACACCATACAAGGGAACAATTCTTCCTTTCCCTACTGATTTATCTTTCTATCTTAGTGAATTTGAATTATACTACAGGTATTATTTCAGCTTCATTATTACTTTGGCTCTTATAGAGAAGTCCGAAGATAGCTTAATTCCTATGTAGATAACTAGTCTTTTTTTTTTCCCCCATCATATCTATGACTTTTCTTTAAGACATCTTTAAAAATCAAACTATTTCACTAGGATATTTCTAAGGATACTGGCATCTTTTCATTAATTGGTCTGGTAATAGATACTTTCATTTTACAGATTTGGGACTTCAGCACAGGAAGGCCTTTTGTATTTGATCTTTGTTATCTCTTTTCACACATGCTGGTCTCTTCTTTAACAACACTGATCAACCATGTGCACAATCTATCTCATATTCATCTCTTCTCTCATTACCAACAATAACTACTAACATTTATCAGTGGCACTATGTATCAGACACCCTGTTAAGAGGTTTACTTCTAGGGTCTCACTGAATCTTAAAAATCCCGTAAGGTAAGAAATGTTACAATCCCCATAATGGCTCACGCCTGAAATCCCAATACTCTGGGAGGCTGAGGTAAGAGGACTGCTGACTGCTTGAGGCTAGGAGTTGGAGACCAGCCTGGGCAACATACCAAGACCCTGTCTCTATAAAAAAAATTGTTTTTAAATTAGCTAGGCCTGGTGGTGTATGCCTACAGTCCCAGCTACTCAAGAGTCAGAGGCCGGAGAATTGCTTGAGCCCAGGAGTTCGAGACTGCAGTGAGCAATGATCACACCACTGCATTCCAGCCTGGGCCACAAAGTGAGACCCTGTCTCTAAATTAAAACAAAACAAAACAACCAAAAACCACCTCATTTTATAGATGAGGAAAACCAGGTTTATTTCAACTTATCCAGTCACAAAGCTGGCACAGGTTGGAGCCTATGCTATTCCTATGCCTAAGCAGTTGGACCCTAGAGCTACACTTTTAACCACAGTTTTCACCTATCTCTTTTTTCTGTATTCTTGTATGCTTCTGAAATTAGTTCTCTATGCTACATTATTGATCTGATATTTTAAAGTGTCAACTTTCTCTTTTACCATTTGCAATGTGGAATTAATTGAAGCTTACCTTTTGATTTTCTTTAAATTCATTTTATCTTAGATGTCTTTTTAAAAAATCTTGGGACTCTCTTTTCATCTCCTCATTAACAGAAATTCTGTTTTCTTCTATTTTATTGAGAACACACTCTAAATATTCTGTTTCTTACAGCAAAGCATTTTAAGATATGCTTTGACTTACTTACTTTCCTTTTTTGGGGAAGGGGGGACACAGTCTCACTTTGTCACCCAGGCTGGAGTGCAGTGGCACGATCTCGCCTCACTGCAACTCTGCCTCCCGGGTTCAAGCGATTCTTGTGCCTCAGCCACCTGAGTGGCTGAGATTACAGGTGTGCGCCACCATGCTGGGCTGAGAAAGTCACGGTTTCTCTTTTTTCCTAGGAGATGGAGTCATACCTGTATGCTAAGTCCTAGTGGTCATCTGGTTCGGAGCCCTCCATTATCACTAGGTCCTGGGCTAGTCTTTACAGAGATATCAAGTCAGAACAGCATGACAGATTATCCTAAATTCAGTTTGTCTGTTGCAATTAAGGGTTTAGGAATAAGTAACTGAAAGGAAACACAAAAGTATAAGAAGGTCTAATTTTAAGTAATTCACTTACTTCATTAAATGAGTATTTATTGGCATGGCAATGTAAAACAGTATAGAAATAGTTTTAAAGTTTCAACTGCATAAAATAAACATACTGTGACAGTTTCAAGTCTCTGTTTTACTAGATGCATCTTTGTTGAAGAATTTTCAGCGTGGACAAATTCATCAATCTGAAAAGAGCCTTGATGGGGTAGTTTTGGACATGTACACAGGGCATCTTGACTTTGGTGTATTCCAGGTAATGGAAATGTTCCATTGTAGCGTTTGAACATTTCAGCCTCCTGCTGGGCAACTGAAGAAATGAATCCATAATTAGTTAAATCATCATAGTAAAAGCATAATCAAGCCCCAAAGCTGTAGCATTCAACATATAATCAGAAACTGCATTAACACGTCTTAAAAACGGCGTAATAATAAGACACTATGACTAGCAAAATCTGAAATTATTTGCTGCTATAAAATCATAAGGAAGGAAACAGAATTTCATGTCAGGCAGCATTATAATTGAGCTGTGAAGGCCATGTAAATTGGGATGGGAGACTAACTTTAAATATATGTATACAGAAAAATAATATTAAAAAATCAAAGGCATAACAGAATTAAGGGAAATACTAAAATAATACTTATTCACAAGCGACTCTAAAACAACTATTTTCGTATTTCTGTACCCTTCTTAATTTTTACACACATTCTATGTAAGATACCATAATGTAAATACAATTTAACATTTCTCAATTTAAACGCAAGTATTTCTCATATTTCTACAATGGTGTAATTATCATTATTAAATGTTTTACAGTATCTCATTTAATGAAGCTCCGTAATTTTTTTTTTTACATATTCTCTTGTACTGAATACAGTTGGTCCTTTGTATCTGTGGGTTCCCTATCCATAAATTCAACCAACTATGGATCAAAAATATTCAGAAAAAAATAACAATACAATAACACAGTATAACTATTTACATAGCATTTATACTATATTAGGTATTATAAGTAATCCATAGATGATTCCAAGTATATGAGAAGATGTCCACAGCTTATATGCAAGAACTATGCCATTTTACATAAGTGACTTTAACATCCATAGATTTTGGTATCCCCAGGGGTTCTGGAACTGCCAGTCCTCTATGGATAACAAGAGATAACTCTATTTACAGTGCTATCTGTTCTCCCTTATAGATCACGCAAGAATAATTACTTTCATAGATGACTTTGTTTCTTAACATAATTCTTATTTTGGAGTTAATTCTCTAGAGTGAGGAAGATGGCTCAAAGGGTGAATGTTTTGATGATGACTGATGATGATGATGATGATAACAAGCATGGTAGCATCTGTGCTGCACTTTGTATTTTTGGGGGTGCTATCACATACATTACCTCATTTGATCATTGAAAACATATGAACTTGAAAAATTTTAAATGTCTATATATAAAAAGGAGAAAAAATATATAAACTCATCATTTAAAAAAGTATTTCCTTAGTTATATAATCTTTAAATGGAAAGCCTTCCTAAACATGACATGAGAGAAAGAAATCTCAAAATAGGGAATGATAATATGGAATCAATGGATGAACGTTCAGTGAGTCTATGGACTACTGAAATTACCATGGAAATGTGAGTGTGTTTATATAAGCGTTGCTGGAAAGCTGATTCATAATTTTTATCAGGTTATCTATCGAAGGATTACATGAGTCAGAAAAGGTTAATAATTGTCCACATTCTTATGGACCAATGAACAGATTTTATAACATGAACATTTAAAGAGTCTTCATTAAAATAACAAAAACTGGCCAGGCACGGTGTCTCATGCCTTAATCCTGGTACTCTGGGAGGCTGAGGCGGCAGGATCATTTGAGCCTAGGAGTTTGAGACCAGCCCTGGCAAGACAGTGAGACCCTGTTTCTACAAAAAATTGAAAAATTAATCGGGCAGGGTGCCATGTGCCTGTAGTTTCCAGCTACTGAGGAGGCTGAGGTGGGAGGATTGCTTGAGAGTGGAGGTCAAGGCTGCCACTGCGTTCCAGTGCAGACTGGATGACAGAGCTAATGTGATTTTTAAAATCATATTTAAGACTTAAATATATAAATAAACTACTACAATAAAAATTGAAAAGGAAATGACGTAATAGCATTCTTCTATTTTTGACCAAAATGGAGTAGGGACTAGATTTACTCTGCTGCTTGAAACTACCAAGAAAAGGACAAACTGTATAAAAGAAAAAAAAAATGTCTTTCTTTGCAGACATGATTGTCTAGCTAGAGCTAAAGTGGAGTAAGGCAAGTGAAGCACACAGGCAGCAAAATTTAAGGAGGTTCTCACTTTGAAGTCCTGGCTCCACATCTGTGTAAAAATTCTAAATGGAATCTAAAAAAACAAGGCACTAGAATTGACTTTGGCAATGTTGTAGGAGATGAGATCAAAACACAAAAATTCTCTATATGTCTATATACAAGTAATTAAGAACCAAAAATTGAAAATAAAAAAATACATATGCCATTTACTATGGCATAAAAAACATGATATACTTTGGAGAAAAAAAAAAGATGAAAAATGTGAAAGACCTGTACACTGAAAACTAAAAATACTGCTGAGAGAAACTGACAAAGCAATTTGTCATTGTATTCACTGGGTGGCATACACAATATTGGTAAGATATAAATTCTTCCCAAATGATCTGAAGATTCAATGCAGTCCCACTCAAAATTCCAGCAGGTTATTTTTGGAGAAATTGTAAAATAAATTCTAAAATCGACATGGAAATGAGTATTACCTAGAACAGCCAAAACAACTTTGAAAAAGAACAGAAAACCTGACTTCAAATCTCATAAAGCTACAGTAATCCACACAGTTTGCTACTGGCATAAAGATAAATAAATAGATCAACAGAATAGTACAAAGTGCCCAGGGTGTATAGACAAAGTATAAAGGCCATTCAGTGGAGAAAAGACAGTTTTTCCAACAAATGGTGTTAGAATAGTTGGATATTCATACGTGAAAAAAATGAACTTTGATCCATACTTTACAACATGTACAAAAGTAACTCAAAATGAACTACAGATCTAAATGTAAAACCTAAATCTATAAGACTTCTAGAAAAAAACAGAGAACACTTTTGTGAACTTGGGTTAGGCAAAGATTTCTTAGCTACAACACTAAGATGCATAAAAGAACAAACTGATAATTTGAACTTCATCAAAATTTCAAACTTCTGTTTTTTAAATTGTTAAGACAATTAGAAAACAAACCAGACTGTGGAGAAACAACCTGCAAATCATCTGCCTGATAAATACTTGTATAAATCTCAAAACTCAATAATCAGAAAACAAACAGGACAATTTAAAAAACAGACAAAAGATTTGAAAAGACAATTTACTGAAGAAGCTATATGGATGACAAGCATGCAAAAAAAGGTGCTCAACATCGTTAGTCATTAGGGAAAAGTAAATTAAAACCACAATAAAATAGCACTGCACGTATATTAGAATGGCTAAAATTCAAAGACTGGCCATTTCAAAGTTGGCAAGTATACTGACACACTAATGGTGGGAATGTCAAATGTTAAACGGCATAACCACTTCAGAAAATAGTCTGGCAGCTTCTTAAGAAGTCAAACGTACATCTGCAATATGATCCAGCCCTTCTACTCCTAGAAATTTATCCAAGAGAAATGAAAGCATATGACCATACAAAGACTTGTATGTGAATATTTGGAGAAGCTTTATTTGTAATACCTAAAATCTGGATACAACCCCAATGTCCATTAACAGGTGAATGGATAAACAAACATTGTGTGGCACAGCCATACAATTAAACAACACCCAACAATATAAAGAATAAATTACTGATAAATGCTGAAACACAGATTTATCAAAGTACTTATAAGTGAAAGGAGCCAGATTAAAAAAAGAGTACATGATATATACAGTTTCACTTACATACAATTCTGGAAAACGCAAACTAATTTATAGTGGTTGCCTGGGCTAAGGGTGAGGAAGGAACAGAACGCAAAAGGGCACAAAGTAATTTCTTGGGATGACGAATATGTTCATTATCTTGATTGAGGCAATGGTCTCCCAGGTGTATAAATGCCTGAACATCAGATAGTACATTTAAATATGTTCAGTTTATAATATGTCAATTATACCTCAATAAAGCCATTCACCAAAAAAAAAAAGAAAAAATTGTAATGAAAGGGGTAATTATTCTTACTATGCAGAGTTCTCATGAAATCCACTAAAGATTAATAATCGAACAGAAACATGGGCAAAGAACCATTAAAGAATACTCACAAAAGAACTATGTGTCCAACAAAAATATAACCTCATTAAAAATTAAAGTAATTAGTAATAAAAATGCAAATTAGAAAGTGCCTTTTTTTTTTTTGGCCTGTTTAACTGACCCACTGTACCTCAAGATATTATTTCCCAAGGAATGTTAAGGGTAGCTAGGTGTGTACTGAAGCACTATTTAAATGTTGAAAAAGACATAACAGTGTAATTGCACAACAACAGTTGTTTAAAGTACAGTATATTCATTTAATGAAAGGGAATTTATCCACTAAAATTATGTACAGAAATGTAATTATCACAATGGAAAACTGCTCATAATATATTATTCATTGGAAAAAAATAATTTATAAAACAATAGACAATATACACAAAAAGACAACCATTTTTTCAAGTTACCAGCCTTGGTTTCACCAACTATGAGTCTGAGATGATGCATATAAACAATATTAGGTCTCTGATCTTTATATTCATGTACTATTTCATTTAGGCACACTAAATGAAGAACAGCTCAATAATAATTGGTGTTCTCTCCCTGCAGACCTTGACAGTAGTGAGTACCAAAGGATATCATCAAGGGAGAGGACCTGGTTACACTCCACCCTTTTAGTGATGTACATTCCTCAATACTAATTACTGTTTTTAAACAGAAGTGTAGCCATTTCTCTGTAGATTGTTATGGATTTGACTATCATTTTTCATTACACATTTTGAACTTTTCTCCAAAACAATCAGAACACTTATTTAACCTCAACTATTCAAAGACTGCTTACAGAACAAGAGAAACTTTAAAACTGTAAAAGAAGTGCTCCATGAACTGGAATTTGGAATGTTTAACAGTAGGTGGGTTTCAGGAATAAGTAAATCAACAAATGCATATCATGTTTCATGATCTTTGTCTTATTTGCTTTTAAAAATTGTCCTTTCAACATTTAATTGTGTTTTGCTGCTATGAATGGAAAATAAAACTGGGTTTAATTATTTAATGACATTTTTTAACTC